GGGGGAAGGGGGGCCTGGCCTGCCAGAGGCAGGCTCTGGCCACTTACCAACCAGCACCCCAAGCTGCCTGCCTGCAAAGCTAAATTCTTGAAGAGCTTGAAAAGTTTCTCAGCCAACCTGCCTGCCCCACACCTCCACAGCCACGTACTTGTGTGAAAAACTGAGTCAGAACAGAGGGAGCTAGTGCTTCGTGGCTGCCAGAAACCGGCCAATGGCATTGTGCTGGGGGCAGGAGTCACGCCTGAAGCCTTCTCCCCCCTCACAGTTTTTAAAGAGAAATGGCTCCCCATAGCATCCGTGGGCTGGATCCAGTGGTTTGGCGGGCCGGATGCCGCCCGTGGGCCGTCTTTTGCCCAACTTGGAAAACAGAAAGCACATTACATAGACCACTTGAAACTTCAGAACAAAGTGAAACATGCAGCTATCAGTTACACAAATTGGAATTTATCCTGGCTACCACCATGAGCAAGTACCCCTTACTCATATACATGTGATGAACTCTTTCTTGATCCCCAAAGACCATCTTTTATATCATCCAAAATAGCATGTCGAACACAATCCAGGATCCTAAAGTCAATGACAACTTAGAAGGAATGTTACATCTAGAGCAACAGCATCGACATTATCAAGTGTCTGTTGTGTTGGATGCTGTAGAAATACACAGGTGGATACTGCTCATTCCCTGAAGAACTCAATCTAATTTGAGACAATACACCAACAAATATGGAGGGAAGGCAGGGAGGACAAAGACAGTGAAAGCACATTTATATGGTTTAGTTACTGCCTAATGTCATAGTTCCTGCTGGTAAAAATAAGGGCTGCCAAGCAATTTAAAAATGAATTGATTTAAATATTTTTGAATGTTTTCTACATTTTCTAGCCCTCTGGGGGGTAACGAGCCAGTCTGGCAGACACTGGGTCAGGTAGCAAGGTCAGCCACACTCCCCTTCCCACCCCGAAAGACCACAGAGGTTGGCAACAGAGGAGCCAGAACTGATCTCCCCTGGTTTGGCAACTCCTTCCTTCAGGACCTATTAGGCCCCAAGGATGCTGGACCAGGGAGGTCCAACCTCTGTACTGCTTTGTAGAATCCTACACATTCCAGAGAGATGCTGCTTAAATCCTGTTAGTATGGCAAATACAGTGAACACCCAGAATTGAAATTACTTGTTTAAATAAATGTGAAACTAAAGGCAAGACTAACAATTTTATTTTACAAAGTAACCCCATTTGAATGGGAGTTAAACATAAATCAAGATTAAAAATAGTATCAAGTCATTTAAAGATGATATTTATTTTACAAAAATAAATATCCAGTTTTTAAAAAATGTAAAAGCATGTCTACAAGGAAAAAAAAATCAAAAAGGCCTGGTTCCTAAGGGAAAAAACACCCCCCCACAAATATGACATTAAATACCATTTGAGGAAATATAGATACAAATGACTGTACATCAGAATTCTAGATTTCTATAACCAATTTTTTCAATTCTATGGTGGAATGACTTGTTATGTACATTCAAAACTCACTACAAGACAGATTATTTTGAAATAGACTGGTATGATAAACAGGACTGTATGTACATTGGGGGGGAAGCAAAAATAGGAATCAGCAAGATTCTTACACACCACTCATTTCTGAAAACTATGTGAAAAATTCACATTGAAATAATTTCTGAAGTTGCTACAATAAATGACTCGTGCATCTCCCTGCCACTAATTAAAGTCTGTATGATCCTAAAAAAGAAACTTTGAAGAAAAATAAGACAAGAAGTAAGCCTAGGGCCGTGCACATTTACTTGAATACAATCTACATTATCATCTGAATTATAAAATATGGCATACAATGGATGCCATCCTTCCACTATGATGTTACAAGTGTTATATTTGCATACAAGGTATAATACAGATAGGTGCCTGCTATCCTTAACCTTCTCTTCCAGCTGTCTCTGTTATTCTATTGCTATTATTCAGTTAAATCCCTCCTACAGATCTCCATGATGGTCGTTGAGATCTCACCTGAGAAGGGGCCTGGTATCCTCTTTGAGACAGAGGGGTATTATACAACACTGCCCTCACAGTTCAAGACTGGAAATTCTACACACGACTGTTTACTTACAGTTTACTGATTCTGAGACACATTTTTCAGATCCTTTCACTAGTCTTTAAAGTGACACACAAGAGAAATCAAGCATTATCATCCCTGTGGCAGGAACTAAAATTGCTCTATTTTGAATTAAATCCAGAAAAAGCAAGGTCATTCAGAAATTAAAATTACCATTTCATCTTCAACTAATTTGATGCCAACCAGTGCAACATGCATTGGACCACATTTGCATTTCTGCTGCACCAAGTATACTCACTAATCACAGTGGAAATTTTGGATACACAAGAAATATGGAGGGGGGAAAGCCTATTACTTTCAGGGCCTTTTAGTTTCTTAAAACATCTAGGCTCATCAAGGCAGAATAAAGTTAAAAGGCAGTCCTAATTTGTTAGTTGAATTGTTCAAGCGAAACCTTTAACAATATTTTAACTTGATCTTTATCTTGCTTCAAAGAAAACCCCAAATGGCTACCACATTTTTAAGTTTTGTATTCTATTCCTTTTACTGGAATTCTACTTTTCTGATAACAGATTTCAGGTGTTCCAGTTTATATTCTTCAATGAAGTCCTCTGCAATATGCAAGGCATTGACCTTCACCAACAGAAGAATCAGGTCTCTTGTTTCATCACTAAAAAAATTAAAAAAGGGTTTTATATTGAAGTATATCTCACACACACACACACACACACACACACACACACACACACACACACTATTGATTTTTCAAAATCCAGATAAACTACACTGGAAACTAATGACATTTATCCTAGGCTATTGGTTATATTGCCACATATAATTACACTGTCCAAAGGCTAGGCAGGAACAGCTAACAAATGTGTATCTTCAATTTCTATTAGATCACATGTTTTTTAAATTAAACTAATCTGATTAGATAGTCCATATTTTAATAACTGCATTCCTTAGCAAATCACACACTAATAAAGACACCTCAGGGTGTGCAAGATACAGAGAATCTCAGCAGATATCATAATGCCTCCTTTAGCAACAAAATTATGACTATTTCCCCAATTCTCTAGAAATAGATGGACCAGTGTTAAGAACAATGTAATATAGGCCTTTACATGCCACACTATTACCAGTAAGTGCTACACATAATCCTTTCCCATTATTCTGTGTTCATTAAATCTTTTGTAAATTAGATTTTGATTTACAATTCTTCCACACTTCACAATAATGCATACTCATTTGAGAAAAGATCAAAATATATACCACTACAAGGCCCCTTTTAAAGTGTACCATTTAAATATACAGACATACAAAAGTTAATAAAACAGACATACACATTATATAGAAATAATTCTGAAAAAAAAGTAGAATACCTGCAGTTATTCTTATACAGTATGTGCGCACTTTGCAACAAATGTTGGCTAAAGTTTGCCAACTGAGGGAGAGTTGATCCATTTTTAAGCTCTCTGAACCATCTTTCTGGGAGACATGCAACTACCTGTTTAACCAAAACATAATTTGGAAAAAAGATCAGACAATCCTTAAATGCATTCATTCACACACTATTTTAACTCACGATTGTTTCACCTTTAGTTGGCTTCATTGTTGTAATTATTAAAATGCTTTGTCATATGTACAGCCAGATATTTAAATTAGGGATGTAAAATCTTGGTTAATCAGTTAACTGGTTAACCAATTAAGCGGGCTCCTGTTCCTGGCTCCCTCCTTCCACCAAGCATAGGATTGTCGATTCCTGACACCCTCTTCTTCCTCCCCTGGTGCACAGAGTAGCCAGCTCCTGATCCCTGCAGGACAGCTGCTCCCAGGTACCAGTTAATCAGTACCCTGTAAGTATCACTTGGTAACCAGTAACCCATTCACATCCTTAATTTTAATGGAGTATTGTTATTCCTGGCTCAACAACTTCAAGAATTTATAGGCTGAAGTTTCTTCTAAAACATTTTATGTATCTCAGTATGGAACATCAACAAACGACTGAGAAAATGCCGAACAGAAACCTTTCCATTTTGCTTTTGATACTTGTTTGTGGGCATATATTAAAAAACTGCCTAGACACATGGCAATTATATCTAGCCAACATAATACATTATTAATTATTTTAATATCAATTAAACAGCTAACTTTTAGAGCACATTAAGCTTGCATTAAACTTTCTGTTCAAGAAATGGGAATCTGCCCAATTCAAAGAAGCCATCACCTTCTTCAACCTCAAAAGGTTCATTCAGAAATCATTTTGTAGCTAGAGATATACAACTCCAGTTATTGAACTTTCATTAACAATCAGCATCATGAAAATACTTATTCTGGAGCCAAGGGATTAAATCCTTAATTGCTAATATATTTTTGGAGATGGTTTATTTTACACTTCCTGCTTTGGAACACTTGGAAGCAAAAAAAAAAAAAGCCCCCAAAACCAAAACACAACCCTCACCTCCCCACACACGACACACACACCAATTTCTATCCCCTCAATAGTGCTTTAGAGTCAGACGCCAAAAACAAACCAGATGGACTTTTGTTTGGCCAAATCTCTCTATTCATTAGCATAAATCTATTGCACCAAGAAACCATACAACTTTCTGAGTAGAAGGCCTGAACCAGACTCAAAGGAATTCAACAGAGGTCTTTCAATTTCTTCAGTGGGCTTTGAAACATCACTAGCATGCTATAGGTTACATAACTAATAATAGCTGGTTCTATAGGAAAACACAAAAAAGCTCTCATACTTAAGTAACAGTATTATTTTATTTTGAATTGATAGATTTTTGGAAAAGATACTTGGAAGGAGATCTTGGCTCCTATAAAAATCAATGGCTAAACTCTCACTGATTTCAATGGGACCGCGATTTCACCCTTAAGATCCAAAAAGATGTTTTTTATTGGATCACAACAGTTTTCAGATTTTGGGCATGAATATTTTGACTGTCTTTCTAAAGTCATCAAGAATTTAGAAAGCAACCTTAAAAAAAAAAAAAAAAAAAAAAAAAGACACTGAATGGTCTGTTGCTTATTTTATCTTCAGACACCGATCTTTTCATCATGAAAACTTTATTCAATAAAAGTCTTTTCCTGTATATAATTTTTACCTTGTTGCATTTTTCCACATTATCTGGTCCAGGTGTGGCATTAAGGAGTATTAGAAGGAGATAACGATTCAGCAGCTTGCCTAATCCTAACTCACGTAGTGTATCTTCTGGTATGATTCCATCCCAAAGAAGAATATTAGAAAGCAGCTGAAATTATCGAAAAGCTTAGAATAAGAACACTTGGTAATAAGAGGTAAATTGAAGTATAAGACTATAAAGAAATACTTTGGTTATACATTTACATGGGACCACATGTGGGCCCAAATTCCCAGTTAGAATTTCTCTCAACTCAATCGTTTTAGATTAAGAAAATAGGTTGATGTGTTTGAGCATGAGATCACTGGACTGCACACTCACATCAGAATGTGCGCTAGGTTTATCGAGCTCCAGAAGTGCATGTACTCAGCAAAGGGCAAGGACTTGGAAACTGACATGACGCACAGTCCCAAGGTCACTAATCTTGTTCACCTTCTCAAATGGACTTTTGAAGTAAGTGATGGAGAGGAAATATTCAGGGCAAGAATGATTGGCTGAGGTCTGGGGTGAGATTGGGAAGATCTGACATGTGTGTAAATGGATGGATAAGTAGATTCAAATGGCAGGGCATTCATTTATAACCATTATTTCACAACTACTTATCCTTGAACAGCACACATTCCTGAAACTAAAACAAGAGGCATACAGAAAGTGGAAACTAGATCAAACTATAAAAGATTAATATTAAGAAAACCCAAACACAAGCATGTTCAAAGGGTCAAGGCAACATGAGATTACACTAGGTAGGGGCATAAATTAAGGTAACCAAAAAATATTTTACAAATACATCAGAAGAAAGAGGAAGACCAAGGATAGGGTAAGTCCATTACTAAATGAGGAAAGAAAGACAAGTGCAAAAAATGCAGCAAAAACTAATGTATTAATGCAGGGGTGGGCAAAAGGATCTCCACGGGTCACATCCGGCCTGTGGAGGCCCTGCTGCTCCCCCGCCCCAGGCCAATTAGGGCCTGGGGAGTAGGTGAAACCTCCTCTCCATCCCTGCCAGGAGCACATGGTGCTTTGAAACACTGCACACTGCTTGCAGGGCAGGAGAAGAGCAGAGAAGGCTTCGCCCTAATAGGTCTAGGGGAAGGGGAGCACAGGAAGTCTCCTCCCACGCCAGGGGCACGTGCACCCTGCTGCTCCCCCGCCCCAGGCCAATTAGGGCCTGGGGAGTAGGTGAAACCTCCTCTCCATCCCTGCCAGGAGCACATGGTGCTTTGAAACACTGCACACTGCTTGCAGGGCAGGAGAAGAGCAGAGAAGGCTTCGCCCTAATAGGTCTAGGGGAAGGGGAGCACAGGAAGTCTCCTCCCACGCCAGGGGCACGTGCACCTCCTTCACCCCCCAGACCAATCATTGTCTGGGGGTGGGGAGCCCAGGAGTATCTTGGCCCCGCCCCTTCTACTTGATACCCCACCGCTTTCTGTGCAGCCTAGAGCCACTTCAAAAATTTCCAAAGTGGCCCCCGGCAAAAAATTATTGCCCACCTCCCCTATATTTCAGTTTGCCTTTGTGTTTCAGTTTTCCTAGAAAGATTAGTGGTGATCAGATAACTAAGATAGTGAACATCAGTGTAAAGGGAGTAGAATCTGAGGATGAAAACAGGGAAAGAACAAGTTAAGATGTATTCAGACAAGTTAGAGGTCTTCAACTCAGCAGGGCCTGACAAAATACATCCCAGTATACTTAAGGACTGCACTGAGGAAATCTGAGCCATCTTTGGAACTTGTGAAGAACAGGAGAGATCCCAGAGGACTGGGAAATGTACTATATTTGCCCTAGCTAGAACAAGGAGATTGAGGACAATCCAGGAAATTATAGACCAGCCATCTTAACTTCAATACCAGGAAAAATAATGGACCTAGAAGATAATACGGCGATAAGTAAAACAGTCAACATGGATTTGTTAAGGACAAACCATGTCATACAAACCTAATATTCTTTTTTAACAGGATAACAAGCCTTGTGGATAGAGTGAAGCAGTAGATCAAATTTAATAAGGTTTTTGATACTGTCTAGGGATGCTAAAAAAAAAAATCGTTAACCAGTCAAACAATAGCACTTAACCAGTTAACTGTTTTAACCTATGACCTGCCACAGCCATGAGGTCCCACCAAGGCTGCTCCGACCTCCCATTGGAGTTAACTGACAAGGGCTGGTGATTGGTAAGCACACCAGTAAGCCCCAGGTTTGCTATTATGCTTACTGGTTAACAAGTTAACATCTCTAATATAGTCTTAAATGACGCTCTGATAAACAAAGTAGAGAAATATAGCCTAGATCAGGACTGGACAAAATATGGCCTGCGGAACAGATCCAGCCTACTAAGCCACCAGATCCGGCCCACAGACACTGTGGGGAACCCCTGCTCCCCTGCTTGTCCCACAGTCCTGCACACCGCTCACAAAAGTGGCTGCAGGGCCATTTCTCTTTAAAAACTGGGGGCGGGAATGCTTCAGGCCTAACTCCCACCCCCAGCACAATGCCATTGGCTAGATTCTGACCAGAAAGTGGCCAATGGGAGCTGCCTGTTTGAACAACAGGCAGCCATGAAGCACTAGCTCCCTCCCTTCCAGCTCAGTTATTCACAGAAGCACATGGCTGGACAGCCTGTGCAGGTGTGGGGCAGGCAGGCAGGCTGAGAAACTTTTCAAGTTCTTCAAGCATTTAGCTCTGCAAGAAGGCAGGTTGGGGGGCTGGCTGGCAAGTCTGGCCAGAGCCTGCCTCTGGCACCCTACCCCATCTTCCCCAGCCCTGGAATTCAAAATGACCTTGACAAAAATAGTCTCAAATAAATAGAATGAAATTCAATAGAGACAAATACAAAGTACTCCACTTAAGAAGGAATAATCAATTGCACATATACAAAATGGGAAATGACTGCCTAGGAAAAGGATGTGATCCACTATAACCCTCACAAACACCCTATGACTCAGCAATGAAATATTGCTGCTAAAAAGCAAACATTATTCTAGGACTTATTGGCAGGAGTCCTGAAGCCAAGACATGAGAAGTAATTCTTCTACTGTCCTCAGCACTGTTGAAGCCTCAACTAGTGTACTGTGTCCAGTTCTGGACACCACACTTTGGGAAAGATGTGGACAAACTGGAGAAAGTCCAGAAGAGAGGACCAAAAATGGCAGAAGGTCTAAAAAACATGACCTATGAAGAAATTATAAAAAATTGGATTTGTTTAGTCAGGAGAACTGAAGACCAAAGGGAGACATGTTAGCGGTCTTCAAGTATGTAAAAGGTTGTTATAAAGAGAAGGGTGGTAAATTGCTTTCCTTAACTACTCAGGACAAAACCAGAAGTTGTGGGATTATGTTTGACATTAAGAAGAACTTCCTAAGTGTAAGTATAGTTAAGCACTGAAACTAGTTATCTTGTGGAATCTCTGTCACTGGAGTCTTAACAGTTAGACAAACATCTCTCAAGGATGGTCTGGTGTAGAAATAGTACTTAGTCCTGTCTCAGTGCAGAGAACTGAAGTAGACAACCTAGAAAGTCCCTTTCAGTCCCACAGTTCTATGATTTCTATTATTTCTTATTGAGATCTACATATATCCTTCCCAATACAAAGCCCAGGATATCAGACTTCTCTGAATACTTATTTCTTGGTTAAGCACAAGCATGAAATCTCTTAGCGCAAATGATTTTTCAGGGATAAATTAGGTAATTTTTGTTTACCTTTACAGCTGACCAAAACCGTCTTTCTTGGAACTTTGATTGTGGAGACAGTCTGTCTTCCACATCACTGGTCATGGAAAGGATGACAGGAAATTGGTAAAACAACAGATTAATGTTTTTTATTTAGAAAAAATATCCAGCCAATTGATCTGTTCTGAATACCGACGGGTGTTAACTTTAATTCTCAATCTAAGCGAGCCTCCACAACGAGAAGACAGGCCTCAGCTCTGTAACAGAACTTTAACATTTGGAACCCATCACTAGTCTACTAACATTAGAAACTGGAAACACTTCACCACACCTGATATTAGACTGACATCTCTGTACAGAGTCAAACAGTGGAGGGCAGATATTCTGCGAACTTCCTAGACCAGCTTTTGCAATGCATTTCCCCTAGTTTCCAATTCTCTGTGTCTCCTAATAAGAGGGATTTCCATTAACTCCAGGTTGTGAAATACCCAGAATATGGTGATAAATCTAATAAAGCAAACAGGATTAAAGCAAATTCTAAAACCAGCTAGGTATTTTTCTTTGCTGAGAAAAGACTTAAGGAAAACAGTAACAATTCATGAATGTGAGGAAGATATGTGCCTCACCAACATAAGGAAGGGCCCCACAACCTGACTCAATGACGTGGTGCACACTGGAAATTGTAGCTATTTCAGGAAGCTTTCTATTTCATTTGTTTCTTATTCATGTTGACTGTATATTAAACTAGCCCCTCAATTCCAATGAAGTGCTGGTAGTTACAGAATTAGCCTTACCTTTTAGGATACAGAGGAATAAAAACATCTTCCTCTATAGACTTCTTCATTCTTGAAACAACTGAGTTTACCATATCCTATTAAAAAATTGAATTACCACTGAAATACCAATGCTTCCACACACAAACTTTTAAATGATAGCTAGTATATTGTACAATATAATTTCAAAGACAGCATTTCCCTTTATATGAATGATATATCTATTATAGACAAATATAGTTGCCCCCTATTTTATTTTTTTTAAGCTATAGCCATCAACTGGCTGCAATTTTAACTGACAGTACCATACTCTTTGACCATTTGTCATTGTGGTGTTCTGAAAGATAATTTAATTTTCCATTTGCTTCATGTTATTTTACTATGATAGCAAGATGATTATACATAGACTATAAACAGGAGCAGAAGACAGTGGTAAATCATTCCATAATTGCCCTATTCAGCACACACAAACACACACCCTGAAGTTTTGGTATTGGTCACTATCAGAGACAAGATACTGGGCAAGATGGATGATGGTCTGAGCCAATATGGACATTCTTATGTTCTTATAATTACAAAATGAAACTGGTGATTAAGCAATAAACTCATCACATAGAAGAACTGAAAAACATTTACATAACTCTGTCATAAGCAATACCACAGAGTTACTTTTTTCACAAAAGGTCTAACAGCTTCATAGTATTTCTACACTTAAATTTAAATGTGGGTAATTTTTAAGTTTTATTTTTTCTTACTTTATCCAAGACATCAACATTTTCAGAAAAGAAACTACTATGTCTCAAAGCAGTGATCTGGTACACAGCAACACACATGGGTTTTCATATTCAAGATCTGATTTTCTATTTAAATTCACCAATTTTATGATGGTGTAATTCTTTGCACCATAGGAATGAAACTAGCATAATGAAGTAGAGAATCATGAACTCAGAGTACACAGTTATAAAAGAGTACACAGTTATAAAATAGTTAACATTAGAGATCTTTTTCACTGGTGGAATTATCCTTTTCTTTAAATAAAATAATATCCTTCCAGAAAGGAAGCCACTTTGTGAAATTTTAACAGGCTTTTAAAAAAAGCGTTTCTATAGCTCTAGTGTAGTTCTACAGAGTGAAAAAGATTTGAGCTCTGAAGCATCCTTAAGATTTTAAACAGTTAAAAGTGTTTAACTTTCATTGTATTTTTTTAAATCAAATGCAAAGTTAGGTTCTTGAAAAGCTTCACAACACAGTAAAAATATTACAATTATGATTAGCTTCTTCCTAATCGTAGTCACATTTTTTCCGGTAGCAGAAGTAAATTTCTGCCCTAAGATTCATACCTCTCCTAAAAGGGAACAGCATTTGCACATTTGAGAGCAGAACAATTCTGGCTTTACATTTTTGCTTATTACAGGTGACCTGCAAAGGTTAAATCAAATCCCAGCTACATTAGAATTACATGATGAATGCCCGCAACAAGGGGTAGTAAGAATAATCAATTATTTTTACATATACCATTTTCTTCTGGTCTCTTACAGCACAGTGCTTTTTACCTGTTTTGCTTTACTGGATTCATTTTTGGAAAGGGAAAGTTCTTCAAATATATTTTTGCAGAGTTGAACTAGGCTGACTGTTTGTGAAGTCGACAAAGGATCCCACACATGCTCTACAAAGCCTGAAAAAACATGCACCATTTCAGAAATTATGCACAAGGGTGGTTACTTGCTTGTTTTAAAATGTAATTCTAAACAGGCAGTAAACTTAATTTGCATATAATTGTCCACCATGCAAAAGATAATGTTACTTCATTCTTTCCAATAAGCATAAATAGATTGGTTTCATTAGATGCTCTTATGCCTTGTGATACATAAGCAAACCCAGTCTTTCCACCTGTCTATCCAATGCAGGGGTGGCCAACCTAAACCTGAGGAGCCAGAATTTACCAATGCACATTGCCCAAGAGCAACAGTTATGTCACCAGCCCTGATCATCTCCCCGCCACCACTCTCAGCACATCCCGCCCATTGGAAGCCCCTTCTCCTTTCCTCCCGCCCACTGTGATCAGCTCTCAGTGGGAGACACTGGAGGGGGGGAAGCATGGGTGTGACAGGCTTAGTGGAGAGAGTAGGAGATGGCAGGATCCTAGGAGGAAAGGGTGGAGGGGGAACAATAAATAAATGGAGATATACAGCTGGGGGTTGAACAGTGAGCACCCTTCAGCACAGCAGAAAGCTGGCACCTGTAGCTCCAGCCCTGTATTTGATGCCTATGCAAGGAGCCGCATATTCACTTCTGAAGACCCGCATGTGGCTCAGGTGCCACAGATTGGCCACCCCGATCTAATGCCACATTTTACCCTCTTTTATAGTCTGTTTCCTTGACAGCCACATATTTCTAAGGGTTTTCTCAGAAGTCATTTGTTGTCCTCTTTTTCCTGTCTTCCATTAGGTAGTATCCTATCAAGGGCTCATCTAGGAACACAGTTTTTTGACATCCAAACACCACACTCAAATCAGCCTTCTCAAATCATTGTCTCTATAGTCTGCTGAGCACTCTTCTGTAATACATTGGCATTGGTCAGTTTCATCTCATTGGCAGACCTGAATATTCCTTGCAAGTATCTCTCAAAGAATATATTACATTTCCAGTTGTTGTTTCTAGCATTTGCCGTTACAAAAGCATATAACTGTGGATATTACAACAGCTTTGTATGACCTGGTTCTTGTTTGAAACTCCTTATTTTTCCAAATACTTGCCAATCTTGCCCTTCCAATTCTTGCTTCCACCTCCTTCTAGAGCTGGCCATCAGCAATCACTGCACTTCCAATATAGACAAATTAGTTCACCATGCTTTTATCTTCACTACTGATCTCATATGTACTATCATTGCTATCAGTGATCATTACATTTATGTTCTTTCAGCTGATTCTTAATCCTACTTGGCAGCTTCACACTGGACTTTGGTGGGGATCGTTTTCAGAGCATCACCATCTGTGTCCAACAGAACCATGTAATCTACACAGTCAAGATCTTGAAGTTTTCCTTTACTTCAATGTAATTCCTGTATCTCCCTTCGCTGTTGCTTTTCACATCATTTAATCTATCATGATGCAGAAGAGGAGAGGTGATAAATGCACCCCTACTGCATTCCAATGACGATGTCAAACCAGTTGATTTTTTCCACTTTCTGTCCTTACAGTATTTTGAATCATCATTCAGCATCTCATCCAGAAACACTATCTTTCCATGAAGTGTGTTGCCACAAGATCGTCCAAACATTTCTGTATGACTGCAGTCAAAAGCAATGGCAAAATCTAAAGACGTTCACGGCTAATCCCTGATGTTTGTTTTTATATGGAAATGCTCTTTTCCTTTCCACTCTTCTCTAAGAAATCTACTGTTTGAATGACAACCTCCATACTTAGAATATGCTTGACACTACCGCCCCTTAGCCTCATCCTAAAGAGTTATATAACATTTTATGTGCTGCAACAAAGACTCTAGCTTTACCATTATTATTAGCTACATATTACTGGTTAAATTAAGCAAGAAAGCTAAACATTTAATTTTCTAGTTATAGTTAACATTATTGAGGTCGTCTTAATATACCTGTAATTTTAGGAAGAATAATTTTCTCAGTGATTGTAGGCAAAATTGTTTGATCGGGGTCATCATTTCTCTTTGGTTGTGAGATAACTTTGGCATCACTAAATTCTTCTATAGCTCTGAACCAGGGCATCTCATTCAGAGAGATGAAATTCTGGGTAAGAAAAACAAACAGTGAGAGATAGCAGGCCCCGGAAGACTCACAAAGCATTTTGTCAAAGTATTTTCACCGATGGTTTCTCAGTGAAAATTCTTTCCCATGACAAGAAGGGCAAATACAAAAGTGATTTCACTTTATAAAGAAAATAGTGAAGAATTACCTGAACTGAGAAAGACCAAAAAGGTATATTAAAAAGATGCTGGCTGCAAAGGCAGATGAGATGGTACAATAACTAAGCAAGAAGGCTAGGAAGCAAATGAGATTAAAAACTTCGAAATTTTTGTAGATTCCAATGCTTGTGACCATCTCTTCCTGGCTTTCTATATCCCATGCTGCATTGAACTCTTCCAAAAATAATTCCTAGAGCATCTCTTTTAGGAAAACATCCCATCTCGATTCTAAAATTGCTATGGTTGAAGAATCCTACTACCTTTAGTAAATTGTTCCAGCGGTTAGCCATTACTGTTAAAAATGATCTCATCTGAATTTGTCTAGCTTCAGTTTCTAGCCATTGGATTGTGCTGTAACTTCCTCTGCTAGACTGAAGAGCCCATTATCAAATATTTGTTTCCCACAGTTATTTACAGACTGATCAACTCAACCCTGAACCTTTTCTTTGTTAAGCTAAATACATTGAGGTTCTTAAGCATCTGTCTATAAGCCATGTCTTGAACCCTCTCCTGTTCACCAATGAACTTGATGAACTGTGGAAACCAGAACTGGATATGGTATTCTAGCAATGGTCACACCAGTGCCAAATACAGAGGTAAAATAACCACTCTACTCCTACTCAAGATTCCCCTTTATACACTTAGGTATTGCATTAGCGCTTTTGGCCTCAACATTGTGCTGGAAGTTCACGTTCAGCTGATTATTCACCATGACCCCAAATCTTTTTCAGGGGGTCTGTTTCCCACAATATAGTCCCCCATCTTGTAAGTATGACCTACATTCTTTGTTCCCAGATGTATGACTTCACTTCTAGACATATTAAAACACACATTGTGTGTGTGTGTCCAGTTTCTTAAGTCATCCAGCTTTCTCTTATGTCTGTGACCTATTCTCTTATTTGCCACTCCTCCATCTTTGCATTATCTGAAAAATTTATTGGTGACCATTTTTTAATTTTTGGATTACTGATAAAAATGTCAAATAGCGTAGAGCTAAGAAGTGATCCCTACTGCACTGCACTCACACACAACAATGTCCCATTTGCAATTACATTTTGAGATCCATTAGTTTTTATATCAATGTTATATGTGCAATCTCAGTTTTGTACTGTTCCTGTTTTATAGTCAAATGTCACGTGGCACCAACTCAAATACTTTACTGAAGTCTGTATGTTACAACAATACTATTACCCTTATCAATCAAGTCTGTGAGCTCATAAAATATCAATTTAGTTTGATAGGACAAAATGGGTCTCAAGGACGTCTGTCTATAGGAGTTAGATCTTTTGTGAAAATCCCTGCCAGACTTTTCAAATACATGGGTAACACAATGCATCTTTACTGATTTTTAAAATAGACATTGGAAGGCATCTTCTGGGGGCATGACATGCCAAAGCATTACAGTACCATTCTACATCTTTACCTCTATTCTATCACACAAAATACCAAAATGATTCACACAAACCACATCTGGCCTAAAATTTGCACTGTTTATTGAAACCTGTTAACTCATGCTCTGGCAGACACACAGACACAGAAAATTACAGTTGTAAACCCTCACCATAAACACTCAGATTCCAGTCCCCATGTACAAGTCTGTTGAACAGCTATTAGATGCACTCCAATACTCCTGGAGGAATTCTGCATTTCTGCATACATACATAATTAATGAGCCATATATATTTTAATATTTTTCCCCCCCACAGAAAAAAGTTTCTGCTGAAAAGTTGCCGCAATTCTACTTTTTGCCCACCAGAGCGCGCTGTGGTGCTAGAACACAGCAGTTGCTTCCAGCTAGTTAGGGTACAGAGTCTTCTTCACCATACCTTTTGGAGGAGGGTCAAGAGACAGGGCCTATAGGAGACACACAGCATGGGGCTGCTGGAGGATCAGAGAGGGGCTGGTAAGGGGGGATGGATTTGGACAGGGCTGAGTGGGGCTAGGTCTACACTGTAGCTTTTTCCACTCCCTTTTCTGCCATTTGGCTCCATCTAGATGAGGCTATTTAGCCTCCTCTTTTGGAGGAGCCCTTATTCCTCGTAGAATGAGGTATACAGGGCTCCCTGAAAGAGTGCATTAGCTCTTCCACAAAAAAAGTGTAAGAACAAACGCATTCCTTGGACACGGCAAAGTTTTTCCGGGATACCTTTTGGTATCCCGGAAAAACTCCACACTGTACACATACCCTGGGAGTGGAAGCACATAGCCACAGAAGGGACAGAAGCCAAGAGCTACAGGGGAAACGGAGATGACTAAGTGGGAATGCAGGAACATGTGGGCAAGAGAAGGGAGGTTCACTGCTCCAAGTGGAAGAAGTGGCTGAAGGAGAGCAAAGAGCTATGGGAAGGAAGTACAGGGACACAGTGTAGAAGGAGTGGGTGTCTGAATGTGGGTGTACAGACTTGTGGCAGGAGGTGTGGGAAATACAGTTTTGTATTGTAGCTTCAATTAATTATTAGTCAAAATTTGTATTAATATGCCTAGTAAGGAATTCGTTTGTCAACTTTTTTTTTTAAATCTTTTTAGTTGTCTGTATTGTTTTGTTTTTGTTTTTAATTTTTACGGGGGACAAATAATGACGAAAGGATCAAGGTGTGCGGGTCACAAGTTTAAAATAAGGGAACCAAATGGGGACACCGAGCAGAGAATCCCGGACAGCGCCCACTGCTCCTCAAAGCTGTCTGTATTGGTAGACATACTTTCCAACAAGTATTTTGAAATAAGTTACCAAAAATAATTGAAACAGGTATGATTATATTATGTTATTATGCAGAAATTGAAAATATTGTGCATATCATTTTTAATTTTTTGGAACAAAAATTCCTCGGGAGTAATTCCATAGGTAACAGCTATTAGAAGTGATGCCAAGAGATGAAGGCAGGTCCCTACAGTAGTGAGGCCCCATATAACAGGGCTTTACAGATTAGAACTAACACCCTGAAATGCTCCCCAACACAAGTGGAATGTTAGTGAAATATATGTATAAGAAAATACACCATACCAATTGATAAGTGATAAAATTTATTGGTAAACATACCTCAAGAGGATTCCAGCCTATTAACTGAATTCTGATTAATGGGTTTAAGAGTTTAGGTAGGCATAAACTAATGTAAGCATCATAATAAGAATCAGGAAACTTCTGTCTCCACTGCTGGAATTTCAACAAGATATTTCTGATGTTGCAAAAATCTGCATGCACATCTTCACAGATCTTCTTACTCTCTTGTAAAATATGATCTGTGGATAAAATACATTTGTATATAGAGAAATATTACTAAAATATTTATGGATGCACAAAGTAAAACAGAATACACATCGACACCACACTTGGACAATGTATCCATGTGATAAACTGCTTTTGTCATGAACCTTTGACACTTCTAATTAGGGCTGTTGAGAAATCCCAGTGAACTCACATGATTAACAAAAAAATTTAAAAACATTATGATTAGCCACACTGAAACAACAGAATGCCAATTGAAAAGATATTTTGGATGTTTTTCTTCATTTTCAAATATTTTGATTTCTACTACAACAGAATACAAAGTGTACAGCGCTTAAGGATGTTAACAGGTAACTGGTTATCTTAGCCCTGTGCAGGGTTGGAAGCAGCTGGGCTGGAGGAGGCCCCCCTCCACTAGTTACCCCAGTTAATTAAATGGGATTTTACATCCCTAACAGTGCTCACTTAATATTTTGCATTACAAATATTTGCACTGAAAAAATCATAAAAAATAAATAGTATCTTTCAGTCTACTTCATACAAGTACTGTAGTGCAAACTCTACTGTGAAAGCACAATTTAAAGATATAGACTGTGTTACATAACTGCATTAAAAAAATGTAAAACGTTAGAGCTTATAAGTCCACTTGGTCCTCCTCCTTTGTAGGAAACATTTGAAAATATTTAAATAAATGGTTTTTTATTATTGTTTTTAATTGCACGATTAATGTTTTTAATCTCTTTAGTGCCCTACTAATAAATTCCAGGTCCCTGAGAAATGTCTAACTGTTTCTCTTTATTTTTTCAATAATTTCCCCAAAAGATGTGGTCCTCCCGCAGCACTCAAAAAAAAATTGTGGCACAAAACTCAGAACAGACAAGGTTTAGTTTTGAACTAGCAGCAGATTTAAATGATTAGTACCTTGAAAAGCTCTATACCAAAAAGCAAAGGGGAAATAGATCCACAGCTATTCTGTGCAGAACTTGCTTCTAACCTTAGGACGCAAAATTTCAGTCTTTGAAACCACATTGTGATTATCCATTGGAATAAACTATTTTAGAAGTGCTGTTAGTTATATTTTTCCTCTCCCTCTGAACCTTGCATTACTATGCTTAAGGTGATTAGAGAAGTCTTTTTGACTACAGAAAACAAAGTTTCTACATTTCTTTAAAAATAAGCAGCACACAACATACATGGTAGTTTGACATCACATTTTGTCAGAACACTTTTGGGATAACTTTTGGCTATCATTTAAATATAGGCTTCACTATATGCAAACAACGTGGCCATCCCAAACTCATACGACACAACCAATGTACCGCACCATATTCTAACTAACAAACAAAACTTTTAACTTAAGATTCAAAATTATTTCAGGGTATTTCCTCACTATAATTGCATGACTCGAGAGTTTTCAATTCAGGTGTAGTAATTAAAAAAAAAAACCACACCAACATCCTTTTTCAAAAGCAACTTATCTTTCTCTTAGAGACATGAAGGAACTTTGCTCAATTACAAGGCAGTCACTGACCTTTGTTTTTCTGAAAATCAGTCATCTCTGCTGGAGATACCTCATCATCACTGGACATGCCCTCATGGTGATCAGATTTTCCAAAACTCTCTCTTGCTTGCCTTCTGCATGTCCTATATTTTGCAATGAACTCACATTAGATATAGATATGCTGAAGGGTCTCTAAGAGAGAACACTTTTTATGAAGGCGGGATTATTTTACAATACAAATGAAGAGGGGAAAAATTCAAAAGGAAACAGAATCAATACTGAATATTACAAAATATCTGTTTTTACTGTTAAAGCAGAACTAAAAAGTGGAAAGCATGCACAAACTGGTTTTGGAAATTGGGATTAATATCAGGACACTTGCCACTGGCAATGTGTTGCACTCAGTAGGATCTTCTAACCCTTCCTCCCTTAGCCTTCTATCCCCACTTCACCCCCAGCTTTTCCAACATCTTCTACCACAACCCCACTCCTTAATTACTGAACTTCAGGTTCAGCTGTATCTATGCTGGACTGTAGTATAGCATTTCTTCTAATAACTCTAGTGCAAAATAGGATATGACACCATACGTCACAAAGACCATAAAACCTAGAACTGGGGCACTCAAGACTCAGCCCATGTAAAAATTCAGAGGTGTAGTTGAGTTCCAATGTAGCTATCAACACAGAAAGGGGTTATATCAGGCCTCAGATTCCAGAACCCATGTATCTTTTTCTGGAAAATGCTCATTTGTTTAAATGAAATTTTTCACATCAATGTAATACTTTCATTTATCACTTAATTGTAGGGATGTAAAAAAACTAGTCGACAAACATGTTGACTAGTCGCTTCCCACCTCCCCTTGCTGCCTCTATCAGAAAAAGGCAGCAATGTAGGGGGAAGAGAAGGGGTTCTTCAAAGCACCAGCACCATGTGGAGCCCGGGTTCTGCCACTTTGAAATTCTGTGTGCAGCCCGGGCCAGCTGGGGACCCCACGGCTGCACACAATGTTTCAAAGCAGCAGAGCCCAGGCTTCATGTGGTGCTGCCACGGGCCCCATGCTCCCCACAGTGCTTTCACCTTTGAAGTGTAGCAACAGCTGTAAGGTTGTTGCTACACTTCAGAGTCAGAGGTGCCCTTATCGACTAATCGAATAGTCGATGCAAAGTGCATCAACTATTCTATTAGCCAATTAATTGAAATTTTACATCCCTACTTAACTGTTCTACATATTTACCTAAAATGAAGCTGCTTCTTGTATTTTCATATATTTTAATTCTAATGACAATGCTTCTTCAATGTGCACTGGTAGACCCAACTCATCATCTTATTTCAGGTTAAAAAAAGTTTATTTCAAAGCTTTCAAATACTTGTTAATTTGTTTTTTTAACAGTAAAGTTCATCTACAGTGATAGTGATCTAGGATCTAACATTAGATCAAGAAAATTTCTCATGAGCTGAGGGAAAAAAAAAATCTACTGATTGGGCAAGATGACTTAACTAGTTATTAGCATCTTCAGTTTGTGCAATTCCATTATCTTCAACCTACTGATATCATGGTGCTTTTTGACAGCATTTTGGTTTCCCAACACAATGATCTAAAGTTTCTTTCTACACAAGTTCACAACACCGATACTCAATAACTGCTTTTCCCATCTCTCATAAGAAAGTACATTAGGTTCTGTGGGGACAACAAAACCATAGATGCTTAGATCCCAAGCAACTTGAGAGTGAAGATTATTATGAAGTAACATGTAAAAGTGTATTCCAAATAGTCCCACTTCTAAGATTTGGGAAGCCAACTAGTTAGTATTCCTTTTGGTAATTAATTAGACAGAATCCAAGAAAAATATTAAATAAAAGTTTCAGGGTTAGAAATTCTGCATATTTACATTCACCACTATATGAAAAATAAGAGTTACTCTAACCATGTGTGATCAAAGTTATATGAATTTATGTTTTATAATTACCTTCGAGACTCACACTCTTCCAGGAGTAGTTGAGTCTTTTCATCATGTTCCAAGCGGTCGTCATTTGATTTGCCATTCTTTCCTATGAATAGGAACAGTTGCATTACAACCCGGACTGGTTTGCTATTTCCATTTTCTTAAATACAAAATATTTTTGTCCATACTATTATTTTCCCTTTATATAGTTTCTTATTTTAGAAATGACATGGAAAAAAAATTTCATCAGTAACCTCTGAAATGTTAAAGCAGAACATCATTACACATAGGTTTGCTGACTATAATAATCTGATATGCCAGCTCCTAGATGTAACACAGTATGGGGGCAGAGTATGAGTGATAAAGTTACAATGCATATTGTTGTATAGGCAGGAAGAGAAAGAAAACAAGCTTCACGTGAATTAATTGATACATACCAGTGACAATGAAATTTGAAGCATTGTCAGGGAAGGATAGCAAGTCCAGAACAATAGTGAGATAGTATGGCTCTAGGTTGGGGAATAAAAGAAAGATTCATATAGTTATGGAACATCATAGTATATATCAGTGGTCCCCAATGTGGTGCCCGCGAGCGCCATGGCACCCATCTGGGCTGGCCCCACCCCCGGGCGTGTGGCAAGTGCCAGCCCCGGGTGCATGGGCGGCCCCTCCCCCAGGGTTGCAGCGCCTGGGCAGCCCCTGCCCGGGGTCGCAGCACATGCTGGTGCCGGCCCTGTGCATGCGGCGCCTGGGCGGCCCCTGCCCGAGGTCGCAGCACATGCCAGTGCTGGCCCCTGCCCAGGGTCGTGGCACATGCCGGTGCTGGCCCCGGGTGTGCAGCGCATGCTTGGCCCTGCCCCCGTACGCATGGTGCCCGGCAGCCCCGAAACATTGGGAATCACTGTTGTATAGTATCTGTTGAAGATAAAATGAGTGTCTTATTGAATGTGCTGTATACCTTCAGCACTGTCAACAACAGGGGTGGGCAATAATTTTTTGCCAGAAGGGGCAAGGCCAGGATGCTTCGTGCTTCCCTACCCACAGACCATGATTGGTCTGGGGGTAGGGGAGTCCCTTTGCCCCCCTTACCCAATAAGCACCCATGCCCCTGATGGTAGCAAGAGACTTCCTTTGCTCCCCCACCCCCTGGTCAATCAGGGCCTGGGGTGGGGGAGCACACAGTTTCCTCCTGCCCTGCCAGGAGCCGTGTGCTTCAAGTGACGCATGTTCCTGGCAGGGGAAAGGAAACTTCATGCGCTTCCACCCGCCCCATATGCCCCAATTGGCCTGGGGGTGGAGAAGCAGCAGGGGCCTCCATGGGCTGGATCCAGCCCACGGAGACCCTTTTGCCCACCCCGGTATACAATGAATGCTAGAGACTTCTCCCAGTCAGTCAAAACTGAAACACTGCAACAATTTTATTCCAATTCTAGTCGTTAATCATTATTCATAATACTTACGGTTAGAATATTTGGGTTGGAACCTAGATCTAGTTATAAAAAAACAGCACTAGTCTAGTCCTACACTAAAACTGCCTTCTGTTGCTGTTGAGTGCTCACTGTGATCGAGTCAACCAATTGTTTCTAGTCTGATCTCCTCGTAAGCCAGTAGAGAATAGCCTGATTAAGCTGGAAACATTTGACACTTGGGCTACTCACTTGTCACCATCTGTGTGCTCTCGCCCCCCAACTCCTCAATTTCTACTCAAGAAATACAAAAGCTACAGTTGCTGAATTTTTTTTTTAAATGTCATACAGGTATAAATGTCCCAGGTCCAGCACCCCTGGGACCAGACCAGTCCTGGATGAGGGATTTTGCCAGACCAGGGAAAGTCATTTCTAGGCCTCCACCACCACCATGGTCTCGCTGCCAGCCTCTCCGCCAGCTTCCCCTTGTTGCCAGACCCTCAGCACAGGGCTCCCTCGCTGCTGAGCTCCCGGCCCCACGGAGCAGCCCCTTGCTAGGGTGTAGCTGCACCCCTAGGCAGCAGCCTCACTTGGGCTTCAGCCTCACTTGGCAGCCTGGCTGCCTACCAGCCTCACTGGGCAGCTCCACCGGGCAGCAGTGGGGCTGCTGGTCTCTTTCCTGCACTGCTGTTAGCCCCACTTCCCAGTTCCTCACACCACTGCCAGGCAGCCCCGCTGTCAGGATCCTGGCCCCACGGGGAAGCTCTGCTGCCTCCTAGTCCCAATGCACGGCTATACTGCTAGCCTGTCAGCCCCGCTACTGAGCTCCAGCCACTCTGCCTCCTGGCCCCCTTTCAGCGTCCCTCCACAGTGTTACCACTGGGTGGCAGCCCTGCTGCTGGGCTCCAAGTTTCACTGCCACAGGGCAGCCCTGCTACTGGGCTCCAGTCCCACTGCAGGGCTCCTAGCCACCAGCTCTCCACTGGACTCTCTGGTCCTGGAACATCCCTGGTCCTTCTAGACCAGGGATGTTGCCAGACAAGAGTGTCCCGGTTAAGAGAGGTTGAACCTGTACTAACTTGATAGCAGCTGGATACAAGTAGATTCATTTTTCAGATCCTCTTGCCTACGTTTCAAGAGAATTATGGCTTGTTGTTGAAGTAGCATCTGCATGGCTGCCTCCAGTTCATCAATATGAAGTAGCTGAAATATATTCAAATGAGATTATATTTTCAGTTAACTGATAGAATTACAAAAGAAAAGATGAAAGTGTGCAAAAGCAGAAGTAGTTTCCCCCAATTATTTTTATACATAACAGTGATGAAAAACCAGAATAAGAAGTTTCTGTTCCTTTTGATTAGACCTTTCAGGCTCAGTTCATGCTAAGCTAAGAAGTACTATCTACTGAGAGGTCTAAAGAAATAAACAGAATACTTAGGTAATGTGTTCGGTTTTTCTTCTAACCGCTGCTCTTACAAGCTCAAAAAAGTTTCTGGGAATCAAGCTGCTGTCTTCCATCCATTTTACACACGACCAGTAAAACTTCAGTAGGCCAAAATTTCACCTTACGTTATATTTGTATTCAAATTAGGCAGTCAGATACCCTTGCAACCTCAAAGCCTCCTGCAGGCTTACATAGAAGTAACTGCCTGGAACCTAGGAAGCAATTTGGTTCATGATGCAGAAGATGGAATAGATACCAAATTAACCTTAGCTATGCTGGGCTTTGCAAGGACAGAAGGAATAAAATCTTATTCTATCAGAACATCCATCCACAAGAGACTGTGAAATCTACTAGCGGTCACAAATCCATCCTAGCATGTTTAAAAAAATATGGCCCACCTGGTTCATTTCAGATGAGCGTTATAGGCCCAAGTTACACTCTGAGCTAATTAAAAATAATCAGTTGTCACCACTCACTCAGCTGTTCCAGTACTAGGAAAATAGAGAATTATCTTCCTATCAAGAGGAATTAAGAGTATTCTCTCATCCAAAACAAAATTTCAGCTACACCAGACTAACACGGCTACATTTTTATCACTACTCTCACCCAAAAGGTTTCAACAAGACTGCTGTTAAAGCTTTAATTTTAAAGTATGGTCTCACTTTCCTTTCACCATTTAATCATTTGAAATAAAGTTATGAAATGGGCAATTTTGTTTTACATTTAAGATTTTTTTAATGAATACCTTGCTCATTTTGCAGTTATTCTCTCCCTTTCTGATATTTAAATTGAGGTCTTACAGGGAGCACCTAAATTCTATATACAGTAATGCAGACTACACAACAGTAGCCACCCAGTAAATAATGGTAGTGTGTTCTTTCCCACACCCAGACTGTAAGCAGCTTTGTTTGTCCTCTCTCTCTCTCTCTCTCCTTTAAACACACATGGCGGTTACGATAGGAAGGCTACGGCACACAGGTGTGCTTCAGCTAGTTAAATATAGTACACACAGGTTGTGTAAAAGAACCCTCTCCCTGCCCTGCTAATACATCTTGATCTAAACTTGAAACATTAACTCCATCCATTCTGTAATACTGAACACTTTCCTTTGAAAGTTTTGAGACGCACATAGCTGAGGACTTAGGTGAGACCTTCAATTTAATTTTAAATGTTACTGAAAATAGCATAATTTACTAACTCTGTGTGTGTTGACATATCCTTGTTCTAGCCAATTATTTTTATTTTGGGAAAAAAAACCTTGTATTGCTCTGCCTACAACCAGTTCTAAAATTAATCCTCAAGCCATCTGTCAAATGACAGAGCTGCTCAATAAAGTGATGACAGGAAGAGGATATTGAGAAGGGATTTTTTAAAGTTATTTTACGTTAACAGCAAAAACCCTATGTCAATAATTAAATTGTACAATCGCAACCTTAAGTTTTACTATCCTTCCCCCCCCCAAAAAAAGACAAATTGAAAAAAGAAAAGTATTTTCCTTAGTCTTTTTTTATAACAATTGTAAGCACTATTCACAGATGTTTTTCTAAATTGATTGAATCCCTTTAATATTGTTTCTCCATACTTGGTGCCAATAAAATGCTAACTTCTAGAGGAAAGTGACTATTCTATTGGCTGAATAGATCATAAATCTCATTCCATCTCCTTAAAAAGTAGGTACCTTTTCATTCAAACAGTCTACAAGATTTTCCATGTAAGTTTTCATAGATCTATAGAATTTGTAATTCAGAGCTGCATTTGAAGCTCCCTCTAACTCCTGGATAGTATTCTTTGAGCTTTCAATGTTCTGTGAATATTTTTCATACTCTCTCTGGTGAGCACGATGAAGGTCCTGTAATGATGTTATTCTGAAAAAAAGAAAAACACTCAAACATTTGTAAATAACTTAACAAAAACTGTTTGCAAACAAGTTAAGCCAGTTTTTCCCTCAAACATTTTTATGTAGCAAACCTAATTCTAGGTTATTAATAATAGTGCTTACTTCCATTAGCCTCACTCAAAAAAATCTACTAAGAATTAATCACGCCAACATTTCCCAATGTGTTCAACTGTTTTCATGTACATAGGTGGTAGCTTAGATATCAATGACAATACCTCATTGTAAACACTCTTGACTATTTCACTGTTCATATAAAACAGGAAAAACCTGATATTCTGAAGATCTGCACTCCAGCGTCTGCTCATTTTGGGCAGACCTTTAGCTATGCAATGCAGGACTGAATGTGGGCTGCCATTTGTCTCATTTTCCTGAAGTGGTATTCAGCTTCCAAGTTTGAAAAACTAAACAGTGTGTCAAAAAAGTAGTCATTATGATTAACTATCTAGTCAAATAATACTAAAAGGAAACAATTCTATCACAGTTCAAAAAAAAATCATGTTCAGTTCAGCCTTTCTGAAATTATGCATATTTTAAAACACATTATGATTGAATTAAATTATTTTCTTATCCCTGCTGGCTTGCAAGAAGATGATCTAATTTTTTACATTCCTTAATATCTTCATTCTCTTTTCTGAATTTTATATTTAAGTGAATCAAGAATTGAACTGATCTTCTCCAGGAAAGTAGGCAAAAAACATTACCTGCTACATGATTCTTTAAGCCAATTTAACCACAATTCTTAAAACTGATGTCACTGGGGCTCTGCATGGGTGCACAGGTTTCTCCATGCATAACTCTTCACAGGAAAAGGACCTAAAATTGGTGTTAAGATTTCAACTTTGTGTAATTTGTGTACAGGCAGTCCCCGAGTTACGCGGATCCGACTTATGTCGGATCCGCACTTACGAACGGGGCTCTCTCGCCCCGGAGCTCGCAGGCAGCGGGACCGCCCAGAGCGCAGCGGTCCCGCCACCTCAACCTCTGGGACGAGAAAAGCTGCTCCGGGTGCCCCTGGTCTGCTGGGGACCATCTCCAGCAGACCAGGAACACCGGGAGCAAAGCCGGGGGGGCGGAGGGGTCCCGCGCATCTGAGGCTTTGCTCTGGCAAAGCCGGGGAGGCCGCCCCGGAGCTCGCAGGCAGCGGGACCGCCCAGAGCGCAGCGGTCCCGCCACCTCAACCTCTGGGACGAGAAAAGCTGCTCCGGGTGCCCCTGGTCTGCTGGGGACCATCTCCAGCAGACCAGGAACACCGGGAGCAAAGCCGGGGGGGCGGAGGGGTCCCGCGCATCTGAGGCTTTGCTCTGGCAAAGCCGGGGAGGC